ATGTATTCTGCTGGTAGAATTTTTATGCTGAGCTGTTGCATAAGCCTTCTGGAGTTTGTAATACATGGCTGTGCAACCTGCTGGTGAGCAGCAGAACCAGGGAAAAATGTGGGTTGTGCTAAAGTATTTGTGGTGAAGGCATGTTGTTTGGAAATACCTGTCATGTTCTTGATAAAAGACAGACTTTTCAGTGACTTGCAATATTACTGATCTTAATAATATCTGAAGAAAATTAATAGATGTTGAGTTCTTACAAGGTCTTTGTTGTTTTTGTATTCTCACATTCTGAAAATTGCTATTACTCAATCTAAGCTCATAGCAAATTGCATAAGCAGCACATTGCAGCCTTAGTCATAGTAAAGGATAATAGTTACAGTGTGTACTCTACCAAAGTAGAGACATTAAAAAAGCAGAAATAGAAATTAGTGATGTTGTTAGAACTGCCATGAAGAGTCTTTGGAAGCTTGGTGTCTTCCAGAAGTCTGTTTCTCAGACATTTCTACCTCATTGTGAGAAAATTATTGTATCTTCATGATTATCTGTTTATGATGTGTATAAAATTATCCATGTAAAACCTTTGCAGAAGATACATTCCCTAGTGTTGGAAGAATATTTATTATGAATTTGTATATATGTAAGTCTCATTTTGTAGGAGAAAAAAAGGAAAACCATTAGGTGTCCTATAAAAGGAAATCTTCGGTAGTATTTATCCAAAGATATTTTTATATAAAATGAGCATTAATTGTAGACAGACAATTAATATATATATTATAGATATAAGTGTGTGTGTGTGTGTGTATATATATATATAAAAATCACACTATGTGGAAACACTGTGTAAGGAGAAAAGACATCTTTTCATTCCGATGATGTTCCAAAGCACCCAGTCTGTGGTTCTTGCTGTTCCCACGCTGTTTTCAAAATCTTCTAGTTAGAGCAAGCCATGGCGTGGATGGATGGGAGTTCTTCCTCATGCTTTTTCCTCCAGTTTGAGAAAAATTCATCTCAGAAGATGAATTGGTTAGCTTTAGTTTTCTCTTTGTACTTGTAAGTTAGCTCAAAATTCATGACTTAGTAGTTGCCCACTTTTTCTTTGTTCTATAGATTTCTGTGTTCTCTTGAACCTTCTACATGAAATCTTTCACTATTAAAAGGAAAAGAACATGTTGCTTATCTTCCCCCTTGACTCCTAAAGCGAGTTGGTCAGTCTTATGGGAACTATTCATGTTGGATAAGATTTCAAGCATCATTCATGCCTAAACTCTGCAATTCAGACTGTTTTTCCCTGCAGAAGAGTGTTAGAATGGAGGATCTGGCTTGTTTTTTCACCTTAAAAATAATATCTGTTTCTTCCTGCATTATTGCAACCCATGAAGAAGGCTGATGGAATAGGCAGGTGGCTTGTTTTGATATTCTGTCCTTCGTAAATAGTGATGAACTGGTGATCAATATAGAGAGAAAGGAATCTCTTGCAAGTTAAACTTACAAAATTGCTTTAAATCTAAAGATGGGCTTTCTTTGGAGAGAGTGTCTTCTCAATTTAGTAACTCAGGAAGAACTTTGACTAGGTAGTAGATAGAGGGTGATTTTTGAGATATTTTAGGTCTCATTGTCAATGTTAATTTCCCAAATGTAGTTAAGCTGTAGTTTTCTGTTTTGGTTTATTTGGTTCAGTTGCATACTGCCATTATAAATTTATTGCATATTATTTAGATGACTAAACAGGCTTATAGACAGAGGCTGTAATTCTCAAAATAAAATAAATGGGAGATGAACAAAGGTTGGAGAACCCGAAATAAGTTTACCAAAATCATTGGTGCTTATTTAGGAGAAGGTAAATTCTGGTTAAAAAAAAATGTGTTTAGTCTCTTCTATTTGCCCTTGCAGTGCATGGAAGTCTTAGAAGGATCCTGTTACATTGTTTGTTTGTTCCCTCACTCCAATTTGAAAATCTCTAAGACAAGAAAATATTTTTCCTCTGTCTTCAGTAATATTTCATGTCTTTAGTTTTTAATGAATTAGTGTTGAACAAAGTCATTCCACTGATATGTCTGTTTTCCTACTGAAAACCATTTTTCTTCAATTTTTTCCAACTTTTAGACTCATAATTTCACAAATGGGAAAAAATATTTGTTACAGATTACAGGTGGGATTTGTTTGATTCTGCTAATCAATGAATATTTGAGGAGATAATTGGACTAATGAAACTACAAAATGTGTGTTCTCTTTAAATCAATTGACTTAGCTTTAAAATGCATTCAAGTGGTAGGAAACCATGGTGGTTTAGATCTGCTGTTCTTTCATAATAAAGTTATATTTTTACAATAAAGAATATTAAGGTTTCTGAATGTATCAAAGACAGTGTGTGAGCTTTACTTGAATGCATTATTTTTAGCTACTGTGTATTTGAAGGCCAACTGATATTTGTAAGTAGCATAAAAAACTACTCACATGAAGAAAAGTATTTTTTTTTATGTTGGAAGGAACTTGGAGTCATTGCAAGATGTTTGATTAGTATTCGTGGCATAAAAGGAAGTTATTTTCAGGGTAAAGGAATTTGTGAAAAGATAATTGGTTAGACCAACATTCTCATTAACCTAATTTGCATTAAATGTGCTACTGTGAATTGTAGTTATTGCTTTTCCTTTTGAAAGGCATGCTTTGTTAACTTATTTAAAAAGCCTAGCTAAACTACAATTTAAGTCATACCCTTTAATTCAGCAATACAGTATCAAACTGAGGATCTGTTATTACCAACTTTGTGAGTGTGGAGAATCATAAACCAGTTCTTGATCCCAGTGGATTTTCCTGATGAAGTAGGTTTGTTTAGCTGCTTGATAACTGGTCATTCACAGATACTGAAAGCATTTGACTAATCCTTTCGTTTACTTTTACTCTTTTGTAAGAGCAGAGGAAACTCTTTATTTCCTCTGTGACGTAGCATGAGAAATAACTGAAGGAGTCTTGGTGATATTGGAAGAAAATACTCATGCCTTTGTATGAAGTATGAAGACTTTGAGGTCACTTGGTTTAATTATTTTTCAATAAAACTTCTTAACATATGTAAGTAAATTTAGCCTTTAAAATATGAGCTTTTAAAACATAAATTGATTTGCACATTTTTGTACTTATTTTAAAATCATGAGACTGAAGAATGCCTTTGGGTTTCTTTAATTTTCAGCATTAGTTATTACTTATTAGCAGTATTGTAGATATTTTGAAACAGAGGGATTTATTTACTGTTGTGCTGTGTGCGATGAAGAGGAAGGCACCTTTGTCAACAGTGAGTCAACTGTGAGTGCTCAAGTCAAGTATTTGCATCTGCAGATAGATACATAAAGACAGGATCTTATTTTTCCATACTGCTGAGCATGCCTAGCCATCATGGAAACTGGTGTTTGTGTATTATATGAACTAAACATTTATAAAGTTAGGCTGCTGCTTAGATATCTAAATGTTAATTTCAGTGCTGAATTGTAATTATTTGCGCTTCCACTGTTTGACACTTGTTGTTTTCAAAATAGTAATATCTGGAGGCACTGAATGTAAACCAAAGCCTAGCTCATCAGGCAAGGTTGTGTGTCAGCCCAGTAATGCTGAACAATGTTGGATAAACCTAATGAAAATGGAGAGATACAGATTCAAGCTGGACATGGTAATGGTCAGAAATATCCATCTAAATATTCAGCTGAGGTCACTTTCTTGCTGGAATGGTTCTAAAGATGATGATGATGGCATGCCAGGTACACGGTGTGCTTAGTAGATGGGTACATTGCATACCCAATGAGCATACATGAAATGCAATGAATTAGAAATGCACTTTAGATATTAGAAAAAAAAAAAAGCCTGGCCAATAAATTTTACATTCCAGCTGGGAGATGGTTAGGTCTCCCTTTTTTTATTGTTTGGCAGAGAAATACACCAACTACTATGCCATTTTGCTGCTTATTCATTCTGTTTGCAAAACAGACGCTGGCTGGTGATTGCACTATTGAGTAAAATTGCTGAAACGCTGAACTCTGCTACATTTTGGGACAGGCAGACAATGGAAAAGAAGCCAGTTTTGGGGACAGCACATTATATGTTCGGATTTTGCATGCAGTATTAAGGCATTCAGGAATTGTCAAAGGTATGAATGGCAGTTAGGATATTGAGAGCCAAATGGAAGTTAGATGCTCAGTTGTTGGTAATCCTTTGAAAACTTCCTCATTCATTCTCTATTAGAGGCTGGGAAAGAATGAGCTGTTGCTTCTCAGCTAACTGCTGGACTAAATCCTAGTGACTTGTACGTGATCTGCAATTCGTCTCCTTCATGCAATAATTCAACAGGTGGGGTTTTTTCCCAATAGAGCTCCTGAAACAACTATTTGTTCTCAAACTGTATGGTCTAAGGCGGCATATGTCCCATACTCTGCATCATCAACATGTTTGCTTTCTGTTCCTCTAACCCTTTGGCCATCGTTTTGCAACCCACCCCAATCTTTCATGTTTCCTCTGTCACAGACCATACTATTTTTTTTATTTTTTTTTTGAGGTCTTGGAATTCTTGTGTGGTTTTTTTTCAGTGAATAAATTTATAGGACTGTCCTTTGCAACCCAGCATGGTACTGCAATAGAAGTATCTTATCAAAAACCAAATAACCCAAGCCCCCGTATAGGAAGAGGAAGCGCTTACTATCTTGGAGGAATGTGGTAGGAGGTTAGAAGATCCTGTAACTAAGATTGCATATGTAGCTTAATTAACACTACTTAAGGTTTCTTTTAATTCATTTCCTTATGCATATGAATTTAGTTTTGAAATTTTTGTGCCTTTTTCAGTACTGTTTTGCAAATAAGAGAAGAAGTTTGATATTGTGAATGCAAGCAGCATTTAAATTAAATGCAAATTTGTTGAAGACATGACATTTATTGATTGAATTTACTTCTGTAGGGCTGGGAACTTTAGAGAAAGCTTGTTATTTTTTTTTTAAAAATAAATATTTTCTATTTCTTTTCTGTAGGAGATTCCTTTACACAGTTCCGATTTGCTGATGAGAAAGAATGGGATAGAGAAACCATATGCCATAAGCAGGTAACAGAATTATCATTCAGCTGAGTTTGTGTGGATAATCGCCTGGCACAGAATACCTAGGCAGTTGTGCTGTCAGGAACAAATTGTTTAATACAATAATAGCACCATTTATTCTGTATATTTTTATTAATTTGTTTCTGATGCTGGAGGCTCTTGGGTTTTGTCGTTTTATTTTTTTTCTATTGAAGATTAATCAAAGCAGCAGGCTAGTTTTTTAAGTAACATTGGAAGATAAGATCAAGCAAATCCATCCAGTGCAGGGAAAATAAGGAACTGCACTTTGCTTTACTGACATATTAAGTCAACCTTCCTTTTTCAGCTGTATTGAAGAGAAAATAGTTTAGTAAAATGACTATAACAAAACCTATATGAGTGTATTCATATATTTGACTATGACAGTTGTTCTAGTTCTTTTAAATTAACAGTTCATATTCTGTGGTTGAAACTTCACCTCCAAAATGACTATGGGACCAACTAATTTTTAGATTACTTCTATGTGGATTCTTTATGCTGGAATAAAAACGGGCAAAGCAATAGGAGACTGCTGTTTTCTGTATCAGGATACTGGAAAGTGTCTTCATCTCTGCAGCTGTCTTCGTCACTTATGTCACCTAAATTATTGCAAGATAAATGCTTTTGTCTTCCAAGCTTTTCTTAAAATTGCTGCGAAGCTGTGCTTGAGTGTTTCTTGAAACATACATATATATTCAAATTTTAAAAGTTTGCTATTTATTTTCTAAAATATCAACAAGAATTATTCCCTAGGAAGTGATATTTAAAGGTACATTAAAGTTGCAGAGTCAAATTAAAATGAGGAAGTAAAACCAAGTGCAGCATTTGTTTAAACCATCGTATGTTTGTTCAGTGGGATGCAGTCTTTCAATAACTGTGTATTTTTTTCTTATCAGTTCCTCCCGCTCCTAGTGTGCAGGATGTCAGTATCCAGAATATTAATTTCTTCATAATTTCCTCATAGGCTTGTTATTATAGCATTTAGGTGATTTGAACACATTAATTTCTGAACGGCTAAAGCCATTGTGAGCAGAGTGAATTTGCACATTGCCAGTGGATTTCACAAATATTCTTCTGGCTGGCAGTGATGAGAGTGCACGGGTCTGGAGCCAGTTCCATGCGCTCACTCGTTGTGAAGTGTGCTGTGGTGGGCATGTTCTTCTGCCTCTGTCCCTCCCAGACTGTAGTCATTCGTCCTGCCCCATCCAAATTTGTTGTTTCAAACTATTTCCCATCTTTCACTGTTCTTCTGTCAGTTTGAAATAGTTTACGGCACTAGTCACCATTACCCTTTCATTTCTTATTTTCGTCCAGAATCCTGGCACAGATGATTTCATAGCACTACCTAATTTTTCACAGTCTCTGGTCTTCAGCCATTTGCTCCTTTTTGTTTCACTAATTAGTTTTCACTAATCCATTGTAAAATAAAGTTGTTAGTAAAGTTTGTCTCTTTAAGCTAGATTTAGAAGCAGCTTCTCTGCTTCCATGAAAATGAGAGTATAGACTGAACTTAAGAATTTTGTGATTTTAAAATACATGATAGATATGAAATTATCTTTCATCGATGGCGAATGTGCTTAGAATGTTTTGCTGTACTGTGAGCTCAAAATCTGTTTAAGTCCACCAAAGTCCAGGGTGTTCTGTAAAAACATGAAATATCGCTGGTCCATTTTGTGTAAATTTGTTTTTAACATTTTACAGCCAAAAAAAAAAAAAAAGGAGGAGTCAAGCAAAAAGGAAACTTCAATACCTGTCACATTAATAAGTGACAGTTTCACCTTTTAAGCAACTAGGCAGCAGTAGAGTGTCTTTCTTGAATATAATTTTAGAAGTGTACGTAACTATAGTTTGTTGCTTTTGTAAGCATCAAACCAACATTTTAAAAGATGGGAAAGTACAAAAAGGGCCATGTTGTTTAGGCACTAAAAATAGTAGAGCTACACACAAGCTACATGATTTGATTGCTTAGAATATAGTAGCAACTCATTAAAGAATGGTGATTCCCACTGCATAGAAAGCTTCACAGATTAAAAGATGTTTGAGTTGGAAAAGGCTCTTATGACATTGTCAACCTGCAGAACTATTTCCTACTTTGGATTTTCAAGGCATCGCCTAAGGAGGATTCCATTTATACCTTGATTTTAAACCTCTAAGCGATTATTGGCATTGTAGGTGTTTATATGGTAGTTTTGCCAGATTGCTTTGTACATGTGTTATTTAAAACTATGCATTTCTGTATTTCATTAGATTGTTCTTCACATTCTTTGAATGTCTGGAACAGGGGAATATAATAAAGTAATTATTAGTTCTTTTTTTTTTTTTTAATACAAGCGTACTGTGTGTTGAATTATATTTCAGTTATCTGCACTTTCTGTTGACTGCCAGTCTTTGGTCCAGGCCCTTCAGGAATTGCCTCTGCATCTGAGGTTGAATGTAGCTGCTGAACTTGTGCAGGTAATGCTTTGAGTTTTCACAAGAAAATGCAAATATTTGAAGTGAAACAATCTATGCAAGGATGAATTACTTTAAACTTGGTCTTCAAACGTAAGTAGAATGTATTTTATAAGTAAATAAATTTCTTGAGACCAGCATGTCAAATGGCACATAATACAGGATACCCCTCTATCGGCACTTCTTATGCTTTGTTGCCTTTAAACAAAATGCTTTGGTGTGCGGCACGTTAGATTTGAAGTCAGGTATTGGAGCGTTTGACATGGAATGAGTACACTGGTTTTGTATTTGCTTCTCTTGTTAGCAGCTGTTAAAAGCTTGCACCAAAATTTTGAAAGTGCTTTCAAAAGTTAATTATTTTAATTGTGACTAATTCTTTTACATAGCTAATATCAACATATGTGTTTATTCTGTGAATTGAACTTACATCTGTGTTAGAACAGGTAGAACTGTCAATCAAACGGGTGAAGAAAATGTCATTTATGCTCTGGTAAAAAAAAAAGCAACTGAGTATTAGGAAAAAAATGTTTCTTCAGGCTGTGAAAAAGAACAGATTCATGTAAGGGCAAAAGAACCAATGAGACTTAAATATAAAAATAAAATTCTTAAAAAAAAAATCCATCTGCTCAAGCAAGGGAAAAGAAACATGAGCCTTGCAGAAGAAATTTTACTTCTGTGTGGAGCTGCATGAAGTGCTTCTGTGACTGACACAACTATACCCTTTCATAAGGGAGCTCAAATATGTCTGCAGATGTGATATCTAAGGGAATCTGCAAATAAATGTTACTTTCAAATACAGTTTTCTTCTTAGGAGTTCTAGTCCCGGTCTTTAACTTTTATCAGGGTTATAAAGTGTGTTATGACATTTAATCTTTGTATTGTCATTCTGACTGGTGATGTGGTCATCAGATATGCTGCAGTGTTATTAATGCCAGCATCCTGATAAAAGCAGAATCTGTGTTCCACGGTTGAATAATGAGTTGCTGTTTCTTGTTTCACTGTTTGATAATGTTTTGTAATTTGTTTTCTTTTTTCAAAGTATACAGTTATATACTATAATTTTGGCTAAATGATGATTTGCTTTCAAGACTGGAATTTTGGAGGGAAGGCCTAGCATGGGATAATGTTAGCTAAATTCTGACTTCAGTCATTCCAAAATTCAGAGTATTGATGGGATTTCATTACAGAAGAATTAAAGAAAAGTAACTCTCCAGCAAGTATTTGTGAAACAATGGAACTTGTTGATTTAACATACAGTCTCATATTCTGTAATAAGACATAAAAGTACTTTGTGTTTTGTAGTTGCTTCTGTAAAACTATCACCAAGATAACTTTATTTTTACTTCTGAATTCATTTCTGCTGAAATTCATTGTAGCTTCTTAAGTGATCATATGCAGGAAGCATGAATTACAATCAAAACTAGACAGAATAGTAAAAATTGAGTTAATTGTTAGAAAGACTCAAGTCCTTTCTTGTACTTTCAGGCATCAACACCTGTAGAGCTCCCACAGATGAAATCTAAGGTTATTGAAGATGGCAAGAGGAGAGAGCCTCTGTTCCGGCAGTCTCTGGCTCAAAGTGAAACGGTGCTGGTCTCCCACCCCATTGGTGATTCTGTTGCTCCATCAGAGCCTGGAAGTAAAAATGGTCCCAGGACAAGAGCAACAGAACCACTTCAGACAGCCCATCCACTATCAAAGCAAGAGACTGACTATTTGGATGAAGAACTAGATCTGCTCCTAAATCTAGATGCTCCCATTGATACAGATAACAGACCTGTGTCAGGTGCATTATCCCACAACATACCAACTGAGAAAGATTTGAAAATGGATTGTAAGGAAAATGGTAAGATTTCTCTTCTCCCCAGCATGTCCTTATTTAATTTCCATTGCTCTCTCTTTTGGTGATGTTGATTAGTTAGTCAACAGTACTGCTGTCATCATCTCTGTCATACCACATTTCATTTATCTGGGCCTATGTTCTGACCCATTTGTTCCTTTTTGATTTTAACTCCCCACTGAACTAAAGTTTCACCGCTGTCAGTTCATTTTAAGCATTAAGAGAAATTCTTCTGCAGAACAGTGTTGGTCTTATGATTCAGCACAATTTTAAATTAAAAAATAAATAAATGTTTTTATGTAATATTATCAGCCCTTAGTTCACTGTGCCAATAGTATACAGAAGAATTGTCAGCTATTTCTGATGGCTTGTTGTAAATGCTATTGTCAAACTTTATTAGCATTGATTCTACAAAATTAAGTTTAATATGGAAACAAAACATGGAAATTTTTGTATATATTTCAGAAAAATAGGGAAACTCTTCCTTTTGATTGCATTCCTAGAAGTTATACTAGTATATTTGTTAGTTTTGATGCAGATGGTTTGCTACTCTTCCCCAGTCCTCAGTGCTGTAAAAGAAATTTTAGCATCTCTGATTTTTTGTGTATGTTTTTCTTGCTATCTAAGTCCAAGATTTGTTGAACATGTAACATGTCACCACAAGGAATACAGCAAGCCTTGTTACTGAAGACAATCTTGAAATGCTCTTTTCCTTCCAGTTGTATGTGATACTTTCCACTCTGAAGCATAGTGAAAGTTCCCTTAAGAAAACAATGCCATCAGAATACAGAATCATACCATGGTGTGATAACCACGCAGGGCAACCTGCTGTTGTGGCAAGCTCCTCTCCTATGTTAAAGTAAACTCTGCATCGGACAGGATTGCAAACAGATCGCAGTAGGGGATCGCTGATCGTCTGTCTGCTGTAGACCCGGCCCTGCCCCCCCTTGAATCAGATGGAAGCCACACCGTTCTGGTTGAGCTTATTAAGCTGCCCCAGTTTTTTTATTGTTGCTACTCTTTTTGGAATATGATGTGCTGTTCTTCAAGAGAGAGAGATTGTGTTTAAATAGAGTCAGTTGTGCATTAAAAAGCATAATGAGCCAGGTCAAAGAGCTGGTATGGAATTGTTTCCAGATTTTCAAGTCTGTTCTTTTCACTTTTCTAGACCCTTTAAAACTAGATGTGCCTGAAGAGAAGAGTACAGCATCACAGCAACAGCAAAGCACATCTAAAAACGTTACCGAGGAAGAGCTTGAAGATTGGCTGGACAGCATGATTTCCTGAAGCTCAAATCTTCTTATGTGAATAATTGAATATAGCAAACATTAGGTAGCAAGTTGAATCTTCCTCTATCTCCTTGTTATTTCCTTTATCTGTTTCAGGTTGTTCATTATGCCAAATGCCCAGTTTTCTTTGCTGCAACCAAATTCTCTGCAGCCAAAAATCATTTAGATGTGATTGAAAATTGTCTAAGACTAATATTGCTGGAAAGGTCTAATATTTGTGATGAAATTAAGATTTTCTTTGCTAAAGATGCAGGCTACAGCATACAAAGTTATTTCAGCTTGTACTTGCTCTATGTAGTCCTTAAAATAAAGCTATGAATGAACAATGAATACATGTGTTTTTACTCACTATCCTCACACCACATCTCCATATTGTAGAAAAATGTGAAAGACGACAGCAAAGGTAATGTTTGGTTTATAATACTTTATTGCAGTGGGCACTTTTTGTTAGAAGGGGAAAAAAAAATGCATAATCCTAGCAGCTTCTACTTGCAGGTGACCATAGAGCATTGTTTTATTTTGGCCTAAGGTTTAAATTGTATTCATTTTGATACAGTGTATGTCTTTTAACAGCAGCATCTAATAAGCTGTTATTGAAGGTGGTATATAAACAAACTTCAAGTGCAGTTTGATACAGAAAGACAGAAAAGCAATACAGTTAATGGATCTGTTCATCTAGAACACTAACATAAATAAAAAGTTTGCATAGCTATGTCTACAGAGGTTTTAAGGCACTTAATGTTTCAAGGTTGACGAAGTGTTTGAAAATGTTTTCTTTTTAACTGCTTAAAGCTCTTCAAGCTGTATCTTAATACATTCACTAGCAAATACTGGGGGGGGGGAGAAAACCTGGACAGCACTTAGTTAAAATATTTTTTTCTGAGGCATGGCCTCTGATGTTCAAGTTCTTAAATGTTAAATGTTGTGCAATTAAGACACCTTTTAGCCCTTTCAACTCTGCTGCCAAACACTAGGTTAATGATGTGGTTAAGAAGTTGTTACCATTTCAGACCGTGTTTGAACTGGAAGGCTTTAAGTTAATCTGGCATAGTTTTCTCTTTTCTAATTAAAATTCCAACAAAAGACCTGTTTCGTATGTGGTAGGTACAAAAAGCCTATGAAATAGTGTCAAATTTTACGTATGTCTTGAAATTTAAAGACATTTAAAGCAAATACAAGCTGTGAAATTACACCATGAAAAGAAAAGAACGGGGTTTTTTGTATACTGGATCTTAACAGTTCATGAATAAATAATTTCTTTTGTGATATTAGCCAAGTTGATCCTCATACTGTTTCCGGAAGCAGTCCCCTGCTGGGAAAAAATCCCAACATCTTTCTTGGTACATCTTCCACACAAATGACTCCTGAAAATGATAAAGAGTATTTATTTTAACAGACACAGTGCAGTTAGTGCTCTAGAGACACTTCTAACAGTAACCAGGTACTGTGCCTATTACCATGGAGCAGAACTGTGAAGACATTGAAACTCAAAGATTGTAATTCAAGAACATTTGTAAAAGTATCATTCTGTACTTTTCTTGATTCAGTACTACTGAAATTTGAGCCCTGTTAGAAAAACGGATTAATTTACACTTACAGTCTCATTATATCAGAGCAAACTTGTACCTAATCTGTATATATAAAATGTGATTCAGTTTGCTTGGAAAACATTGAAGTGTAAGGTACTTTTGTAGTGTTTGCATAACAGCTTCTTATATGAGATAAGAAAATAAATAGGAATTAATTACACCTTATTTATTTACATTTAGGGCCTAACACCACTAAACATACATACACACAGCTGTACACCTATCTATATATACATATATATGGATTTAGACTATAAATATAGTAGCTTAACTACTTTTGGGAATAAACTACAACTGGTATATTTCTGGGTTTCATTTCAGAGACAAGATGACAGTAAGATTACTAGTAAGTGACTTCTGACAGAGTTGAGAGCTGGGTGGAATAGCACACTGCTGCAGCCCACCTCCTCCCTGTTTGTTTTTTTTTTAACCCTTCCTTTTCTTTCACTGGCAGAAGACTGTCAGGGAGGGTGGCATCCACTCCACTCCTTGGTGGTACATCAGTTCCACCTGGTGGCACACAGCTACAAGGCTGGAGAAGACAAAAACCTGGAAAGATAATCTTGACAGGAAAAAAAAAAGTATTATTTTCTACTCACCTGGCCAGTATGCTCAGTTTCATCCTTGTTAATGAGATACATTAAAAAGAACCTGAAACAAGCACATGAAGCAAGTATTAACGCAGAAAATGTAACATGTCTGCCTCACCTTTCCTAGGCGGGGGTATGTGAGGGAGATGATGCCAACCGGCAAAGTAACGATAGTGCTAGGCATCTAAACTGCTTATATTAAAGGAGAAAATTCTATCCTTCAGCACTTCTCCTGTGGAAGTGCTAACAGATGTAAAATCTGTAGAAGTGGAAAAATGCTGTTTAGCATTTTCTTCATTTCAGTGCTAGGAGCAATACCTGAATTAGGCATATGTCAAGTCCTATACACACATATGCTCTAACATCTTACCTTGGAAGAAGTTACTATGGCTACTATGCAAGAAGTTAGACATGTGGCAAATACTCAGCTGCACCAAGATTTCCAAAGATTCTCCTCGTACAGCTCATCAGCTGAGCCTATCTATCTCGGTGCTCAGACTGAGAGAGCTTGACCTGATGAGGAAGGCTGTGGAATACCAACAACGATCTGTTGATATGTAGCACAGCTCTTGGTTAGCCACTTTTCACGTAGTGCATTTGGAATTAAACTTGGTATGTGCTTTCACGGTTAAGAAAAGAATGCATACTGACTTTAACATTTGTTTAATTACAGGGCAACCTGATTAGAAAGATTGTTCACTATATATTCTAATATTAAGGAAATGGCCATTTTTAATCTACTGTGCATTACAGGTTCCCATATACCAATTAAGCAATTCAATATAGTAAGAAATGCTTGGAGGGTCTAGACTGGTAAAGCTATGGCTGTTAATGGAAATTTGCCTCACAAAAGTGATGTGCACTGATTTTGCAGAGTCAGTTGCTATACAAGGAATAATGCAGCCTCCACTCCAGGAGGCACACTTTTTTTTTTTTTTTTTTTTTTTAAATTTAAAAAATTCAGATGCAGTATTCCAAAGCCAGACTTCTATAAGATACCACCAGTCCAGCTCCTTTGGTTCTGCTGGTACAATGCTCATACAATTATCATTGTTGTATGAGTAACTAATGCCACCAAATTCACTTTTTAGATATCCTCTTTGATCTGCTCTGTATTTACTAATGAGAGTAGAAGATCACTGTCTTGGGAGTCTGTGCAGTAGTCTAAACAGATACAACTCCTGATTGCTTCGAGGTTTTGGAAAGCTGCCGTATCACTAAAGAACTACAGGATCAGACTTGTACATCATTTTTTGTAGCTTATCCTTCAGGAATCTTCCAGAAATGCTTTTTTGTTTGTTTGTTTTGTTTTAGGTTTTCTTTTTGTCAAATTGAGGCTAATTTTCAATGGTCTCATCAACATTACCAAACCCCCAGAAGTCACAATCAAAACTGCCAAACTAAAGCAACTTATTAAACTGTTGTGCCTTATCATTCCACATAGGTGGGTTTTGTTCCAGAGGAATAAGGAGTTGGTGTGCCTTCAGGTCTCATCCCACTAAGGTAGCCCATGTGTAAGGTGAGCACTTCAAAGGTAACCAGCAGTGTGGAGCAGAGGAGGGGAGACCAGACAGTAGTGGAGATATTCCTCAGTTCTACAGAATTCTCTCTCAGGATTGTCAGCGATGGGTGCACCTAAATAAGTCTGGAGCTGCAAGGTCTCTTTATCTTAATTGTCGTAGTAAAGTATACTTACAGGTAGTTTGCCAAGTTGTGTTCTTGCAAAGTATGTGTTTCAAAGCCATGTGGGGTTGTGTCAAAATAGTCATTGCCGATTCCACAAATAAAACATTTGGTCTGGAAAGACAAGTTATGGTTACAAATGAATTTTAACTCAAAGACACTATTTTAACTGGTAGCAATCTAGATGAACAACAGTAATGAAAAAGGTAGTGTGCTTACTCATACCTCCATGTCTTCTCTCACTTGTTCTTGCTGGTCTCTTAATTCACCAAAAGCATCAATGATCAGACCTATTATTTCAAACAAAAAAGTAGCAACACTTCAGTACTAAGCAATATTCATATTTCAAGTAATGTCTATCAGACATCCTTCACTGTCTTTGGAGTGTAGCATTCTTAATGCCTACGTTGAACAATTCAAATTACAATCTATCAGTTTCCAGATGTCTAACATGTTTCCACTGCACTCCTAGCAGTATGAATTTCTCTTACATAGAAGGACAATTCTTGAGAGTGGAAAGGCTTTACTGTACTTTCATTTTGGTCAGTTTAAGCTTCCACAGTCTCATATCTTTTGTTCCAATGAAAGGATTTAGTTTTAATTCTCCTTCTCATGGCACTCATATCCAACTTTTATGTAACAAAGACAACTCTGCTCCCACAGGCCCCCCGGCCAGTTTGTGATGCTGCTTCACATTTGAAGCATTATCCCTCTACTTCCAACATACAAAGAATAAAATTGGATCATTTGGGGGACTGGGACATGCGTAACTTTCTCTCAGTATAGTTGTATTACATTTTTATTTTGCTACAAGACTGCCATAAAACAGCGCTTTTTCCTAACAGCCTTAGGTCAGTTTATACAATGAGTGTTGAACACTGACAGTCATTGCAGAGAGGTCTCATTCTCTGTAAACCACACCTGCAAACCAATTAAAATTGCAAATCACCTTCTAAAGAGAAAAGGAAATGGGTATGTGGCCATGGTGATTTTCTCCACGTCATGTCCTCTTCCCAATGGGAAAGTCTCTGTTCCCCAGCCAGCTGTGGTGATTCCAAACTAAAGGTGTGAAGAGTGTCTACAGCAAGGCTCTCCACTTTTAAACGGTTATTATAGGAAGAACAGCCATCCTGCACAAGCTGCCTCATTGCTGGATAGCTGTCAAAGTGTTCATAGTCACTGTAACCCAGGTAGGTTATGTTTCTTCTGCTTTGTCTTTGCGTAGTACTTGGGACAATGCATTATTTATGCATTGTTTGCATAAAATTATTACTTTCAGAATTAATGATTTTATCAGCTCTGGAATCAGTCTTTATAGCAATACTGCTCAATTTAGCTCAAACACAAATACAGTTTAAATACGTTGCAGAACTTAAGTAAACTAAATTCTAACAGTCTCTACTAAGGTAAGTGACAGTACCTTGAATAATGGCCAGCAGGATAACAATGACAAAGAAGAAAAATGTGATGTCAAAGACAATTCGATACATTTCATAAGGGTCTCCAGCAGGATCCTCAATTTCATCTCCAATGCCGCCACCAGCTCTTACGCCCACATACATATGGAACAGGTAACACTGAAAATTTCAAAGAGAGAGGAAAATTACAGATATATTTACCATGAGTGATTCTCTTTGTGGGTTGGTTGTTTTTTTTTTTTCCTTTTTAAAAAATTATTCTGCTCTGCTAATTCTCTTCACAAGTTATAGCAACAAAGAACACACAGTATCATTCCTCACATACCACACAGACTTCACCAAAAATCTGTTATTGTCTTAACTAATGTGATTACATCATCAGGTACACTTAGTAAGAGGAGGAGTCAGCATCAGCTGCTACCATCTCTTCACTCCCCATGTCCTACTTACAGAGTAAGACCATTTGGGGGCATTTTTCTTCTAGTTGTTACTGTATTCAATGATATTCTACCCCTTATATTAATTCCTAAAGTTCTAGCTTGCTCTGAGTAAGCAGAGGACATCTTTTAATGCCTTGTAATGGAGTTTAGAAATGTTGGCAAATGTTGCCATAAAATCAATAGTGGAATATTCACAACAGGTAGATTTATCTGTGTTTAGGTGGTTTCTGGATAATTTCATTTTGCAATACTAGATGTCTGGTTTAGTATATTGTAAATTATTTATGATCTGGGAAACACAGCCCATGTTCAGTTTGATGCAGAAGAAATAATTTTACAAAAACATTGCTGTGTGTCATGTTTTTTGAACATATAAGTCTTCATGGAAAAATCTTTAGATATTTAAGATACGTAAGTATCTTAGAATGGAATCTGCTGCTGGAGCGATATACTACTGATTTCCGAACCTTGTAAACCACCTTCAGTCACACAATGTGGGTTAAAACCAATAGAAGTCTCTAAGCCCAGCCAGTGTTCTGAAGTCATATTAGACAGCAATGCTGGTGTTAAATAATCATTAAACCTGACAAATCTGGTCTTTCATAAGCAAACACTAAATAGAACTCTACACCCATTTTTATAATGCAACTTTACTGTTGATGTAAGATGCTAGTACTAGTTTAATCATACTTAAAAATGTAACTTGGAATTGATTTACCTCACTTGGTAGAGTGGTTTAAAATGTAATACTGTTTCATTATTCCAGTTACTCCTACACCTATTTTATGACCAGAACATTATATCCAGCTTGCAGAGGGACCAGTTAAATAATATTGCTTCAGCAGTTTTCATCATTTCCATCATTTGCACATCTGAGTTGCACTAAGTGTTTAGAAAAAAGTTTGAGAATAGGAAAGAACATTTTATGAAGTCTATGACACACGTCTGTTCTGAGGCATTTTTATTCCATCTTCAGCCTATAATACAAGGCAGTGTGTGACTTTCCCATGAAGAAATGAGCTGGCCACAAACTCAGAATTTTAATTTTTAATTCCTGAATTTGTCCTGTTTTCTTTATACAGTAAGAAAATCAAATCCTCTTCATACCGCAGTACGTATCTGTAGAGTGTCTTTTAATATGACAAAAATAACATTCTGTGGCAACAGGTGGAAATCAGAAGGGAAATTAGTAGCATTAGATAATCACCCATAATAAGTTTTAATTTTCCTCTTCTCTACTCACCCCTGACTTCTTATTTCATGACTAAATTACTAATTGTAAGCAGTTTGGAGGAGGGTTTTGTAACTAGTGCTAATAACATCATATACTTTGTATAGCCTAAATAAGGATAGTGAGAGCTTGCACACTTGCAAACATTGGGAACAAATTGGGTTTATGTGTGCTGTAACAACACAGCTGCTTTTTGCAGGGCTGAGCAGTTTGTCATGAAATTTCTTCCATATAGTTTAAGGGTTTGCCATCTTCACACGTAAAAGAGTTGCAGCTAATCACAAGCCACAGTATTTAGGGGAAAAATCCAGAGTATCTTCCTATACTGGTGAGTGTCATCTATCTACTGTTGATTTTAGACCACTGGAGGACGCATAGGGAACTTCAAGACCATTCACATTTTCAAAATGACACATAGCAAGAAGAAGATACCCATGGATTTAACAACAGAAACATCCCTCCTTGCTTATCATTTTATCTTAAGTTCCCATTTAAAAATTCAGGATGAAATTGGAAGCATGCTAGTGATGTTTTAGTTACCGTCATCATGTCATCACATTTCATGTCTGGTTCATCTTCATCTTCACTTTTATTGTAGAATTTGCGGAAGAAGTTGAACGCCACAACAGTGTAGAGATACACTACTACAGCGAGGAGTCCCACAGTAAGCACAAGCTGTGTATGGAGACATGACATGAAAGTAAGTTTCAATTTCATTCTGTCAGAAGAGATAGGCTAGCTTAGAGTATTGCCTTAAGTATTGAAAATGTGTCATATTGTACCTTTCCCAATAAGGAAACTAAAGATAGCAGTTATAATAGCTGTGAGGTCTCGCTACTACTCAGATCAGTGTAGAGGTGTTTGCTCTCACGTGAAAATCAAAGGGAAAAACGGTAACAAGAAACTGAAGTTTCCACCTTTCTGAGCTATATGCATACAAACTATACATCACTGAAGCAATGTTTCCACTACTTAAGTTCGAAGTGAAATGCTAGTAACTTGAAAAACTAGATATACAGTGAAAATGAAATGATAAAAAATAAACCCATTTAGTTAATTTGATAAATAATTTCATCTGGGACTTATTATGACTTATCATAGTCTATTTTCTGTTCCTAAGCTGGTTAGCAAAGCCATCTACAAAGTGGTGCCCTGGTTTTGGCTGGGATAGAGTTAATTTTCTTTCTAGTAGCAGGTATAGTGCCTTGGTTTGGATTTAGTATGAGAATAACGTTGATAACACACTGATGTTTTTAGTTATTGCTGGGTAGTTGTAGCATCTAAGTCAAGGACTTTTTGGCTTCTCAGGCACTGCCAGGTGCCCAAGAAGCTGGGAGAGCACAGCCAGGACAGCTGACCCAGGGCGGCCAAAGGGAGATTCCCTACCATAGAACGTCACGCTCCGTATGTAACTGGGGAAGTGAGCTGGGAGGTGGGATCACTGCTCAGAAACAGACTGGATGTTGGATTGTTTTATTTTCCTTTTGCATGTGGTGAGCAATTGCATTTGTGCATCATTTGTATTATTATTATTTTTATTATTAATCTTCCTTTGTTATCCTATTAAACTGTCTTTGTCTCAACCCAGGAGTTTGTTTTTCCATTCTCCGCCCCATCCTCTTGTGGGGAGAGGAGTGAGCGAGCGGCTGTGTGGTGCTCAGTTACCAGCTGGGCTAAACCATGACATGTGAATAGAAAATGTTTTAGATAACCAAAAAGTAAGTAATTTCCAGGTCCTGCTTTTAAGCAAATAAAATCCTTAGGTGAAAAACTTTAGGGGTTAATGAGACTAGATTATATTGTTTGTTGGAGCTGGCATTAGAAGATGCAGCCCTAGAGAGGAGTTACTGAAGGCTACATATTTTAAAAAGTGCAGTGATTGGGATTACTCTTTTAAAAGAAATGTAGTAGTATTGAACAACAAGCTGATCCTCAGTTTATCACTTTCTGCAGATCTATAAGTATGCTCCCAAAGTGAACATTTAGATTGAAAAATCTGCAGCTGTCTTTCAGTGCTCATATCTACTAGCAAGAAAAGCCATGGGATTAGAAAAACTAATCTTTGCTTGTTAAGAATGTATACTAAAAGCTGTGGTCTGGAGTTGAAACAGTGTTGTCAATTATGCTCAGTTTTGAGTATAACATTTAGAAAAATCTCATATAGAAAATACATCAATCATTAAATTAAAATTACTTTGGTCATCCTGGAGGAAAAAGAAGGGGATAAACCCAGAGATTTCATTTGTTTGTGTGATGATACTGAAAACATTCTCATATGTACTATTTTAGAATCTCCCTTTGCTGATAAGGGAAGAAACTTCCATTGGTCTATTTCTGCTGAAAGAAAGGATTAAGCAAACACAAAGGATATATCAGAGTTAAGCTCAGGAGATATTCTTATGCCCCTTCCAAAATGTTACGTGGTTTAAAATATTTTGACATGTCTTGCAGGGTGTAAGAGAGGGCTTAAACTATATGTTACTGCATTGAGAAGGAATGGAATGTGTAGGTTTGAAATTAAATTTTGGTGAAGTTCTACTAGATTTCTTACATGTAAGTTAAAAAGTGTGTTCGTGAAAAACTCCTCGGTTTTGTTGGTATGCTAGCTAGGAACACAGAGCCTCTAGACGTCAGAGAATGATTCCCTGCATAAGTTTCAACAATTAGTTTTGGAAATAGATTTTACTAATCTGATTTTTGCATGACAAAAAGTGACATATAAATATATTCCACAGTGCAGAATGCCCACACCTGTAAACACATTCTTACTAGCCAAGTATTGAAATCTCAGTGCCCCGATCATTATTATTGCTGTAGCTAAGGAAAGATTGTGAATTCTTATTAGTTATCACCAATCAGTTCATCACTGAGCATAGAGAAGGAGCTGGTTGGGTCATAAGTCACATTCCTGTATTTTTCTAAAATGATACATTTTTCTATTGTGTACAAAACTTCTTTACCTATCAGCACTCTGTGGATACAGATTATTATAATTTCATAGGATTTAACATGTAACATGTGCTGCAGAAGACACAATGGGATCTATTCTTTACTCCAATCATGATCAAAATAGATTGCATTCCAATACTTCCTCAGTATCACAAGATTTTTTTCCCAGCTCTGTTACAAAACGCATTCATTTTCAAACCCTTGTCTGTAGCACTAACCTGTTTGCCATTGTGAGTGACTGAAGACAAAATGGTTCGCAGTGTCTTGAAACCCATAGCAATATCCAGCAGATGAGCAGCAAAGAAGAAGTTGTTGTAGTGCCCAAGGATGGACATAGTCGTGTACCAAGCTAAGTATAAAAACGACTGCAGAGAAAGTACAAAGTGGCAGAATGTTAGCAGGTGCTCATTGCATTACTGGATGCAGAATATAGCTTTCTTGTAGTCACTCAAGTTATCAAATAAAGTAATATTATCATGATCTGATCTGAATCACGGTCTGAATGTAATACCTCTATTTTACATGTTCAAAAAGACTGTCTTACTCTGTCTCTTGTCATGTCTCCTGTTCATTTAAGGAATGTTTATTGCTTAGTTATGCTAATGAGACCTCTATCTTTATGTATTTAAATGCAGTCTTCAGCCTATATGTTATTAACATCAAAATCCCCTTCCTTAAAACTGATTTGGTGGGGGAGCTTGTTACACAGTACTTTAAATTTTAATACTGATTCTGGAGGAGAGAAAATGCATTTTATTACTCTTGAGACACTTTGTTTAGGTCTCAGACCATGTCAACCAGGACACCCAGAAAGCCTAAGGGACATAACGCAGCTTATTCTTCTAACAAGCAGTGAACCTGAAGCCACTTTGATGTGAAAGCTCTTATTGAAGAACAATGTGCTTTTAGTGCACAATGAATTTATACATAGTCACTTGATTTGACTTGGCTGCCTTGTTTGTTTGGGAATGCTCGAGAGGATTCACAAAAAAAGAATTTTAACAGAGGCATGGTCCTTTCAAAGGAAAAGGTATGAAAGAAAAGAATTAACCATCATGTCAAACAGATGATTCAAGAATAAGAAGGGATAACTTTCTGTAGAATGTGCTTGATTTTAGAAAAGACATCTTTGATTGCTAGATTGATTTCTATAAAATTAAATGAATGTACCATTAACTTCCAAAATGCTGACGTTGTATTAATGGTGAGAAGGTGCATATTGGTCTTTGGAATCAAAAAGAAAATCCTAGCATAAATTAAAGCAATTTTCTACAACACAAGACAGAAAAAACTATTTTAAAATTACTCTGTAATGCAATATTATTTGTGTATGTTTGTTTAAAATAAAAGCAGATGGTGGAAGACATACAATCATGTTTAGAGTAAATCAAAGCATATTCTTCTAGGCTAACATACTCACATTATCAGTGAAAACAACTCCGAGCTTCCAAATGTGGTACTTTGTATCAATGGAGCTTAACCTAGGAAATACAAATTTTTTCAAATGCATCAATGTCAAAACTAAGCATTGAATTCTGTAAATATAAACAACCAACTAGGTAGGGCACTTCACATTTATTTGCTAAAGGTGGTGATATACATTAGCTGTTTGTTTTTTGAGTGATGTAGGTGCTTCATTTTTCAGAGAGTATTCTTGAACTCTAAGCACCCAGACACAGTTTCTAATCCATTGAAACTGGTGGAACAATTTCAGCAGGGGTGATACTGCCGTATTCCAGACTTAAAAAAATGTAAACCTTTTAAAAGTAGTGAAATGTGGAACCAGGATTGCTCGAGGTCAAGAGGCAAGTGTTCCGTCTAGTGTAAAATGTTGCCAGAATTACCAGAAGAAAAGGTAATGCCTACTGCAAGATTCTAAATATTTTATTAGCCATTAGATGACATGCGAATGGAAATCCTTCCTCTTGTCTGCCTTAAGTATCGAGGAAACCAAACTCTTGTAGGAGCCTAAATCATTTGGGACTTGGCTACTTTCAAACTCTCATCTTCACTGATGGATTAAGTCAGGAAAACATCTCTGATTTTTTTCTAGATAGCTGGCATCTAGATATTTGTTATCAATACTTTTTCTGCCCTTTGGTTTATAAAGTAATTCCACTGCAACACCTAAAGAACTTTTAAATGCTGCATTGATTATTGTTTAAAATAAAAGAGTGCCCAACTATGTCAGTCAGAATCAACTTGTGTGATTTATTTTTTTTCTTACTTTTGTAACACAAGTATAAATATGTTTTAGAACTAAAAAAAAAAAAGCTTTTTTTTACTTCCACACTAGGAAGACTTCTCCATTTGAATTTTCTATGCTGAGGAAAACATCACTACAGTTTCAATACAAAATCAGTTTTTATCTTTGATGGTGAAGTTATGCCAACACATAATTTGTCTGTGAGGTTCGGAAGTCATACCATGATACAAGGGACGCCTCTTCTGGTTTGCTCTCTTCCACTGGACTAAAATCAAGGGCACTTTTGTCCAAACCCAAAAGTTCTGCTATGCGCTCTGCTCCATATAAGTCTCCATATTTGTTAATAACCTAAAAAAGGAAGAAGAAAAACTTTTGCTCAGAGAAAGACCTTGGCAACAGTCACCCTACTTTAAGCCAGTAGTTGTTAGAAATTAAAAAAAAAAAAAAAATAAAATAAATCCCAAAAAACTTTCACAATTAACACTACTAGAACAGTCAGAACTCCCAGGAAGCCAGGCGGGGGGAGCATAAAAAAGAAAAATAGAAGCATTAAAGGCTATTATCTGAAAGCTTATGTATAATTTTCCGTCATTTAAGCTGGCATGTTTTTCTTGTTTTAGGAGGATGAGGGGGCTTTGTATCCTAAAGATGACAATGACTGTAAATTAGACCTGCGTGGCTGATTGACAGCGCAAAGTTATTTCGAAAGCCTGAGTCTGGGAAGGAAACCACAGCCTTCTGTCTTCCTCCCTCCTCCCACCTACGCTGCAGCTGCCTGTTCACCGAGACATTTACCACAACAATGACTTCCACAAAACAAATTTCACTTCTCGTTTATTTGTATATTTATGTGTATAGAAGTATATTGCACATAGATATCCGAATTAAGTGAATAGTAGATTATTGCTATGACTAACAAACATAATAGAAATATAAAAAGCCTACCTTCCGTTTTACAAATTTGTCCCAGTAATTGTTTGGAAAGGACCTACATAGACAAGGCAAAAATATTTCAAGTTATTTAACTTGTTAGGGGAAAGAAAAAAACAACCAAAAAAAGAGAAAATACAATGTTCCTGATCCTTGCAGGTTCTGGTACAGTTTCATTCACTCACACACTGGACTTAGAACGATGAGAACAATTTCTTTTCATGTGGACAGCAGCTGTTATGAATCATTATTCACTGCAATATAATTTTTCCCCTCTCTTTTCTTTTTCACCTCCACAAATATGATTTGCTACAAAAGGACAGCAGGCTAACTATTATTACCTAATGAGCCTAACAACTCAATAATAGCAGAGTAGTCACTGTAATATCATTCATGTCCTAAATAAATACCTTATTGCTCTTAGCCATAAAATCAATACAGACAATGATTTTTCAGAGGAAAATAAGAGAGTCTTGTAGCATAAATAATTTTTAAGTTCACATTTCAAATAGAGGCTGAATACTTGGGAACCAGTTTGCCAAAGTAAAATTAAAATTCAAAAAATATTAAAAAAAAAAAAAAATCCCAGAAAACTGCAAAGGTCATTTGGCAAAAACCAGGGGTTAGTGGTACTCTTGTTCTCAAGTGTATCACATTGTTGGTACTGGATCCGACATCCCAGAACAAGACAAGGTAAAAAGCATTTATAACTCTAAAGCTGCCCGACAGTGCAGCTAAAGAGCATTTTGCATCATCTGCCTCTGAACAGCCATGCCCACGCTGGTAATTAAAAGAAAAGCTATTGTGTATACAAAAGAGAAAGAAACAAAGCAGTAAATCTTTTATTGAGAATTCTCTGTTTTTGGTTTTTTTTTTTTTTTCCAGAATAGTGAGTAACCATGATGCTTCAATAAATAAGTAGTCAGGTTTATCCAGGGGAGAGCTTACAACAGACACTACAGCTTTGACCTGCAAGTGAAAAGATAGTGTTCTCTCTTATCAGTGAAGTTTCCCTGAGCTTTGACTTGAACATAAAAAATATTGTTCCTGAAGTGCCTTATGAATAGCAGTGCCCAGGAATTCCTCATTCTGCTGGTCTTACTCTATATAAAGTCAGTTTTGAAGATGCCAATTAGCAGGAAACAATACAAAATTTAAAGGGGTTCTTTCCCCGTTTCCTGGATGTAAAATTGAGTTGAGCAACTGTGCAGGAAGGTAAAAAAAGAAAAATAACTGCTTAAACTAAAGGCCAGTATTGGTAAAATAAAGCAAGTGTTAACATCGGAAGAATGACATTCCAGAACACACTTCTACTGGGATGTGAAGCAACCTTCCCAACTACTACTAAGTGCTCGATTTTTATTTGTCTGAATTGAAGTTCTGAATGAAATTATTCCACATAAAGGCAAATGGTTCCAGTGACTAAGATGTTTTATTCTGGTCCAATGCTCTATATTAGGTCTTTCCTTGATTTCTGAGACTTTTAAGCAAAGCCAGCTTGTGTCTAACTCTTTTACCACAACCATCTAATGGTGCTGCATTTGTCAGAGTACCTCTTTTGCCTTTTTAATTACCTATTTTTTTTTCACTTATAGAGAGCAAAATCCAGTACATATACAGCACTGGGTACCCTCCAGCAGTGGTTATCCTGGTGGTGCAATACTTGTACTAAACCTCAGGAGTCAGTCCACATCAGAGGGAAGGATTAGTCTGCTTAAATTAGCCTTAATCTTTTATTCATCTTCAGTAGATAGCGCAACATGCTGAGAACAGGCTGTACAGCATGTCGTTTGGGATAAGCTGACAATATATCTCATTAATTCATGCTTGTTTTTGCTGAGGATAAACTTACTGGATGTTTAGATAGCTTGCTATCAATAGTTAAAGAAATGGGTTGGAAATTAAGCAAGCTCTCTGCTTTCCCAATTACCTCCTGTTATAACTTTAATAATGTGCTAGTCTGTATTTCTAACCGATATTAAGGAAAAATTCTTAAAATTCAGGTGTAGGAAAAAAAGCATTCAAGAATTCCCGATATTTTAGAGATTCTAATTTTAATGAAGGTGCTAAGGGCAATATTTATAATGTACAAAAAATGAGTAAGATTGAGAAGAGAGCTATTTTGGCTATTTGGTAGCATATTGTGGATTATTTTTGCTGGCTTGTTTTTATCAACTACCTACTTATGGTTGCACATACTAGCCACAACTACTTTGTGACTTGTAAAGAACATGATAGATCTTTTTTCTTTTCCAACTTTCTGTTACTGTCCTGAAATTATTATACTATTAACAGGAATCTAAGCCTAGGTATACTAGTACCAAAATGTGATTCTAGTGGTTTTGAAAGAATAAATTCTGAAAAAAGAGCCTGTAGACAAGGCATTGTTTCAAGAGAAGAGAGCTGACTTGCTATGTTTCTCTGTGTCACTCCTACAGACTGCTGCAGCTTACTGATACTCTTCTTTTTCTTGCCTACACTTGTATCATTCACTCACAGAACAGCAGGTGAGTCTCCTAGAATCAGTATGTGACTACTACAGTATTTGCTAATGCATACAACATGACAGTAATTCCTGTCAGACCTACTCAGATTCTGGGATTGCTATTTTACACTAGATTTGTTTCTCTTGTCATATACAAATGTTGCTAGCAAGAAATGGGAAAGAAAGGCAGGAGAATACGGCTATACAATATGAATGTGAAATTGAGTCACTGAAAAGGATGGAAGTTATCTTTTTAAAACTTTCTCAAATAGCGACTAATATATGAAATGTCTTGGAGAGAGCTTGTGAGGTAAGATGCACAATCTTTACAAACCCTAGAAAAATGAAAAGGACAGGGAAAATGCATGTTATGATAGTGTTTACTAAATAAACAGATAATACAGGATTTCACATCAGAATCTACTACTGTAGCATCCAATATAAGGTGAAAAATGCCTTTCTTTTAGATGAACTAGGTGGCCCTTAGACAGGGAAGGTTCTAGATCAGTGGCTTAATGAGCTATAATGCCTATAAAGTTTACCGATAACCATTATAATTTTACATACGGAGTGTTTATAACCAGGCGATCCCATTGTCCTTTAATATCGTCTTCAGATGGCTGTTCAGTTATGTATAGTCCATCAAATTCCAGCTTTCTAGCTACCTCCTTTTCTCTCTTGAATACAACTAGAGGGACCTATGAAAATGACAGTGGACATCTTTGTCATGGTTTATCTATTTTTAGAAACCATGATATCTACTTACAGTGTTAAGTACTCTTTATGATTCTATATTAGACCAAACATCACACTAGCACCTCCCGCAAGCAGATCAATGCCTAGCCAGTCTCGGAGCAGTGGCCACCTTGGAAGACAAGCTCCCCCTTCCCAGCTTTTATTTCTGAGCATGACGTGATATGGTACAGAATATCCCTTTGGCCCATTCAGGTCAGTTGTCCCAGCTATGCCCCCTCCCAACTTCTTGCCTCTTCCCAGCCTACTCACTGGAGGATGCACAGAGTGGGTAAAGCAAAGGGACAGCCTTCACACTGTGCAAGCACTGTTTAGCAATAGCTAAAAGGTGGGGGTGTTACCAACACTGTTTTAACCACAAACCTAAAACACACACAGAGCAATGAAGAAAGTTAATTCCATCTCTGCCAGACTGAGTACATGAGGAAAACATCTACATATTGAATAGTGAGAATCTGTAAACAACTAAGTAAAAATAGGTATTCCACTATTGGCTCCAAAAATCACTTTGGGACATAGCTGATGTTCTTTAACAAATATTAGATTAGTAATAAGATTCAGAACTTGCCTTTAAGCAATAGTATCCGATCACACAGACAAAGGAGATGACAGTATGAACAACTGCCAGTGCTCTGAGAGCAGGTGCCATGTAACCTGTGCTTTCTTCTAAAACAAAAAACACCATGCCCTCCTCCTCTTCCTCTTCATCAAAAGAGTTCCAGAGATTAGAGTCTTCCTCTACTTCATCAAGAGGCTCTTCTGTCACCTGAGAGAAATTCAAGCACATTGAAAACACACAATAAACTTAAAAGCTTTTCCTTTACTATAATGAGAAACTATGTTTGCAAAGCCTGCTCATGGGAAGATGACAGAGCATTAGCTTTGAACAGTAATGGCCTTCATTTTCACAGCATAAGTCTCAACATCATCTCATGTCAATGAAAAGAGAATCTAGAAAAAGCGAGTACAGGCATATGGCAGTTTACAAACCCTCCTGTAAAAATGCTGTAGCAAAACCAAAACAAGCAATAAAAGAGTTATGCAGAAAAGTTTTCTTAGAAAGAAGCAGTGACAGGGTTGTCTAATATGACTGAATTTTGGGTTTGTTGTAATCTATATTGTTCCCGATTACTAGAGTATAGAAAGAAACAAAGTTCTCACGTTATCAACTTGTACGCTGTCCATAATTTTTTATTTCATGCCTTAGTTTACAGTTTTCAAATTACTACAGTATTTAATCAGTATTTCATAAATACCCCACAATACTGCCAAAAATTCTTCCAGCGACTTTAAAAACCTGGCCTTTAAAATAAAAGCCCTAAGTGCCCTTCTTTTGACAGCTTTATCTGAAAGCTGAAGTCCTGTTCAGTCCTGTTTGGCTCTCACTGACCCTTTCCTATCTATGACAGATGGACTTGTACTGATAAACACAAACTTTTGTCCTTGTTCTGCAAAAGAACGGGTTGTTGGCTGACCCAGAAGACCCAAAGCAGAAGAGAGTGGGGAGAAAATGGCTGGCACAGACAGAAGCAGACTTCTGCATATACCTTTGAAGTCCATCTCCTGTAACCATATGGGATGGAAAGAGAGAGGCAAGCAGGGAGCCTTAAATAACCCTGATGGTCTTTCTCCTGGAATGGTGTACAAAAATTGTACCCAATTTTCAAGAGCCTTTTGCATCTTCACCTGCGCTGTCTCCGAGACTACAACTTTGTTGTAGAGTTTGCTTTACATGATGTTTGAGACTGGGATTCAGTTACTTCTAGACTGATCATTCAGTCTGCTGCTTTTGTCTTCTCTGAAGTCTTTGGTTATAAACAACAGAACTAGAAAACGTAATATTGGAAACCATGAGATTCATCAGCTTATTGCAGCTTGCACTCTATATCTAGAAGGGGAGAATAAAAAGGGCCAGATTCCAGGATAAAAATAAATGAGGACTTTTCTTACAGACTTCAACTCTGTAAGGAAAGGAAAAAAAAAAAAAAAAAAAATAAAAAAAGGCTTTTATGGATGGAAGTTCTCTTTAGTGAATTCTAGTCCTTTTCATGGACAGAGGTTGTAAAGATTCAGGAATAAAATTAGTGAAGGCTGCTGAAGATGTTCTAACTTGTTTCATTGGGTTATACACCAGAATCTGAAATAACTCATTAGATTCAGGTAAAACCCTAAGATCTATTTTAAAGTATGGGTGTATAAACTTCTTCATCAGTGATATATAAAAAAAGAACTGTAGCCTACTATCAAATTGCTTTCTTGCTTTATATTTCTTCTGCCTGCTCATATCAATCAACTAAAGTCCCAATGCCAGTATAGAAATATCTTCACTGCAACAGTCACTAACAACAAATGACAATGACAACAAAGAAAATGGAACAAATAAGTATAAAACCTGAATTATACTCTCACATGCAAACACAGAATGGGGAAAAAAATACATTTGATGTTCATTAGAGATTAGTAATTTAATGAAAAAAATATGAAAAAAAAAGAAATTAAAGCAAGCACTCCCTTCAAAACACCAAACCGTAGACCTGAAAGGCATGAAAAAAAATTATGAACAAATTAAGTATAACTAAAACATACGAGCTCATCTGGTTAAATTGAGACATTAATCTGATTCTGAAATTAAGTATTAACTATTTCCCACTCAAAAATGAATGTAGTCAGTAGAGTTCTTCAGAAAAGCAGAAGTACAATAAGCAACCAAAAAACTTTAAAAGAATGATGCATAATCTTACCTTGTAAAATAGAAGAATAAAGTTGATGGCAAATGCAACAAATAGAGCAAGAAATCTTAAGTTATAAAAATTTCTTGCCAAGTAGTGCTGAAAGTAAAAGGAAATAAAAAAAAAAAATAATTAGAGGTGTCCTGTAGCTAATATCAAGATAAGGAAAGTAGGCAGCAAGGTTTCTAAGAAAGTAAATACATAATTGTGTTGCCTTCATAGACCAGTTAAAATGAGCAAGGGGATTTCTTGGCAGCCAATTCTCCCATTTCATGGTAAGCAGTATTAAAAATAACAGGCTTAAAATTGCAACAGGGAAGATTGAAATAGAATATTAAGGAAAGGTTTCTAGAAGGAAGTCTGGAAAAAAATGCTGGAATACTGGAATAAACTACTTGAAAAGGTTTCAGAGAATTAATCATTTGATGTTTTTAAGAACAAAGAAAAATCTTATAGAAAATAGAATTATAGATTCTAGAAATTAGATTATGGAAAATAGGGAGCTCCTAACAAGGAGCTCAAGAGGTTAATCTGTCCTGTTAGATCAAGATAGGAGAAATTACACACACAAACACTTTATTCATATAAGTCTATGAAGTATCACAAAAATCACAAAAGACTCAATACAGCCAGTCATTTGAAAACTCATGCCAATGTTCCTTTCACAATGGCATTTCTCCCTTCAATATCAAACAAGTGTTCTATATTACATAAATAAAAATCATCAACTAAAAGAATTTAAGAAAAACTTACAAGCATTTTTGTTTGATAGATTTCCAAAGCTTTGAAGAAGTTAGCCATAACAGCCTCCGGTTTCTCAATTTTTTGTCCATGCCTTCGCTTCTTTTTCTTCATTTTCCCCTCTTCTAGCTGCTCAGATTGTACTTCCTTTGCTTTGTCTTGTTTCTCACCATCTTCCATACTAGAAGAAAGGTTATCTAAACAAAAATACCTAGCCAAACTTCTGTATTGTAAATGCATTCATTTAGAAGGAATTCTAATTCAGAAAGTTTGGCTTTGAAAGTTAGTTTTGACACTGGGAGAAAAATGATTGTAAGTGTAAAACTTGAGGTAGACAGTAAACCCAGAGCAAAAAAAGTGACATTAGTTTCAAATGATATGTAAGAATAGAGTTGTTGAGGGGAGATCAAAAAGGTAAAAAATCCCAAACCAGGCAGAAGTTACTGCACCAAGGGTGAAGTGGATTATGTTTGCCAAACCCAGTGATGCATGTATATACTCAATACAAGCAACATAATAATTTTAAGAGTTCACGTGTACTTTCTTGAGCGTGGGGCTGAAGAAGAGAAATAAAGCTTTTGGGATTTGGTACACAATATCATAACTGAATCACAGTATCATAAAATGAATTAATTTCAGTGAAAGCAATCACTGTTTTTACAGAGATGAATGAGTAACAAGGAGGTTTTCTTCAGAGGGTCTCACCTGACAAAGCATGTAGAAGAGGACAATCATTCCTCCTGCACAACTGAACTGCCTTTATGAAAATTAAGTATCAAGATTGTATGTAGTAATAGGGGAACTTAGTTACTAAAGTAAAAAAAAAGCTGAATTTGCATATATGTATAATTGAATGTTGAGGCATTGAGGCGGAGGAAAGTTTTAGGCGTGAGGACAAAGAAATGCAGTATGTGGTTAACTTAATCACACTACTACTGCAGTAGGAATCATATGATGGGTGGCTAAGAATGTGTTTATCTTCTACCAAAAAATGTTCCTGTTGCAGTCACAGAAATGTAAGCCATTTAAACCCAAATTTTTAAGCTGAAGGCAATTTGAATATGCTGCAAAAGTACTTGGGAGGAGAATTAAGCATGGCAAGACAAGAGAAGACAACAGGGAATAGGGAAAATAAGTCCAATAAAATAATAGAGGTAGAAAGAGATCGTGTTCTTTATAAGAGGTGAAAAAAACTAAAATAAGAAAATGAGTGTCACAGGAGATTTTTGGCAAATTCCTAGATATTTATAAATTACTTCACTGAAGCAAGGGGGACTATGCTACTAGTGTCTAAATCAGGAGACCAAATTCAGTCAACAAAGAAAAAAGCCCTGCAGTGATATGATTTAACAAAGATTTTAAAAGGAGTCATTTCACCAATCTAAATATTACCCAACTTAATACTACATTGTAACATGGTCTAGATAAAAGAAATTTCTGAAATTGCTTATTTTGAAGTTACTGTCTTCATACTAAGCAGCACTCATCAACAGGTTCTTTGGACACATGGCACCAAAAAAAAAACCCCAACCAAACAAACCGCATAGAAGAGTTTAATTGCACTTTTTAATTACCAGAAGTGCTCTAAGCAATGAAAATAATATGCTTAACATCCCTGCAGGGACTGAAGAGTGAGATAAATCATATCAGAACAATTCTGTTACAATCAAATGCAAGAAGGGTACTTTTTAATTGAAAAAGTATGTTTGATGCAGCCTGATAGGTAACAGATAGGAAATGAAAATATACTGAACCACTATAGATAGCGTTTATGGCATACTTTAATGAACTAACAGAAAAAAAAAACCCAAACCCCATTTAAATTCACACATGTTCATGTAACACATACATATATATACACACACACATATATGTGTGCATTCATACACCATATAAACATATATATATACACACACAAACACACACACAGACACAAAAAGGATTTTCAGACAAGCTATCCAAAGTGTATCCAGTCCTCAAGTATTGACCCCAATGGAGTCAACGACTTGAAAAAATTAACTTTGGCAGGTAAGAGGAGAAAGATAAATGAGGCCAAAGTAAACATTTTAAACATAAAGCAAAATAGAAAACGAAGAAAAAAAAGATGTATAGCTTTTGAATATGTAAGAATCTCTAGGAGATCTTTTGTTTGTGTTTATAAATATTTTAAGGGCAAGCCTACAATGTGGCTGCATGTCCAGAAAGACAGCGTGCCCCTTAAAAGTAGGATGCTGCTAAAGCAAGGTAAACATTTTAAAAGTTGTTTATAAAGCAGTCATATCTAGGATGACTGGACAAAGGAATGTATCTGCTGTCAAGTTCACAACTTGAGAACAGATAAAAAAGCAATAATAAAAATTGCTGGGTTTGTCAAATCTTGTGTTTCAATGATCAACTATTGCCTGAAAATCATAATAGGTAGTAGGGAAAGCATAAATAGCAGTGATGATGAGTTGCAGAGGTTTTTTCAAGAGTGGTGCTCATTTTAAAGGTAGTTATGGGACTTTTTTAGAAAACAATGACCACAGATTTATATGTGCAGATTTGTTAAGGGCCACAAAAATCAAATTCCCATTTTGTTGCCTACTCAGATTGCCTGCCGCCTCTTAGGGACTGTGCTGCTTTTCAAAATACTGATGAGACAGTGTACATAAAGTGCTTTGAATACTGAGAATTGCTTGGATTCTTTCTGGCCAAATTATCTATCGTTAGGAAATAGCAAGGAATTAAACAGGAATTGTGTAAAAATAACTTACTCAGCCTTCTCAGCTTCTGCTTTTCTTTCTGTTTCAGCTTCTTTTGCAATTTCAGATATCTGCAAAAAGTATTTTAACTGTCAAAATTGATCCATTGAAATAAAATTTTGATAGCTAGTTACCTTTTTCTAAGAAACAAATAAAATAATTAGCACACTTTTTTTTACTACTTTGCACTTTTAAAGTGTTAGATTTTTTTAAAACAGATGGCTCAGACTAGATTTTAACAGTGAAATCTGCAGAAATTATTCTGATAGCCTTTTTCAGTATAGTATTATCAACACTGTAACTAGCCCAGTTGGCTGAACAACTCGAAGTAATTATAGATGGTTATCCAACAGATTATGTGACCAGCTGGGGAGGAAGGTAACTACATTCAGATCATACGGTAATACAAAGGTCACTCACAAAGACTCAGTGCAGTTGCTCATTATGAGCATCAGTTTGCCTCATTGCAAATATGAAACGAGGAATAATATACCAATGATAGCATCAAAAAATCTGAAAAAGATCTGTGTAATTATCAGATATTACAAAACCCAATTACTTTGTCAAGACCAACTGATGCAATTGAAATCAGACAAATATTTAAACAACTTTTACATACGCAATATTTTCTTCAAACTATTTATCTTAGGTGGGTTGATGGTTCATTAAACCTTTACTGGCACAGCTCACAACCATCTAAGTATGTGTTTATAACATTCCCTTGAGATAAGGAAAAACCAATATACAATTTCACAGATGGCTAACTGCAGTAAAGAAGCTGGGGCCTGGATTTCAAACACCTTTAGGCTCAGTGTTGCAAGACCAAAGTAAACTTATTTCAAATGCAGTTTGAGTATCTAAGCTTCACTAGAAATGGGAGAGATGCAGGCTCCCAAGTCTTAGATTCACAAAGGAATCTTAAGTGCCTGAATTTGTTACCATTCACTTTTGCAAAAAACTTGGCTTTTTACCCTCTTCTGTATTCTTTCAAAGTGCTTAGACACCAATTGATTATTGGTGTATTCTCCTACATTTCTGGTTAATACATAAATACAGTTATCTAAATTCCGCCCCCCCCCCCCCCCCAACACACACAAGTAGTGAAAGAATTTATGAAAGAACTTACTAAATAGATCTTGCCTTGCTTACCTCATCTCTTATCTGTGGAACCTCATCTAGTACATGTGATGGAAACACGTAACTCTTCCAGAAAGAGTTTGCCCTAAGATCTCAAGCTGGTGGAGGGCTATTCAGAGATCTTTTGATGATGTCTAATTCTTCTAAGGGGTAGAGTAGGGGTAGAATGAATGAATCCCTATCCATCTTCTCCATCCCTTTGTCATATCCCTCCCTCAGTTGTCTCCTCTCCAGGCTGAAGAGCCTTAGCCTACTTGATTCCATACACAAGATTTGTTCCATATCAAGTTTTGATAACATTTTGACCTTTGCTGAACCTTTTTCAGTTTTATCACATTCTTTTTGAAATGGGGGAATCTGGCCTTCAAGACAGAGATATACTTCGGGTGCATGGAGCAATGTTAATATTCTAGGGTTTTCTTCTCTCTATTCCTTTCTCAGCAATTCAGAGTTTCAGTTTGCTTTTTTTGATCTGTTACTGACATTTTCATTGAACTTTTATACTTCTGTACAACTCTATTATATTCCCAAGATTTCATACCCAAGCAGGAACAATGAGCTCAAAATCCAATATTTTACATGTAAAATTATCACTTTTCCTCCCATATACATCACTTCACTGATTTTCATCTGCTATTTTAAGGCTCTTCTGCAGCTTTGCAGTTAGCTCTTGATTTTACTGCTATGAATAACTTAGATTTATCAGCAAACTCTGTTAGCTCACTGTTCACTTCTTTCCTTATTTGTGAACCCGCATGCCTGTCAGCACAGATTCCTGTGGAACTTCACAGTAAAAACTAAGTTCTAACAATCTTCATCATATACAATTCCATAGGTTAATTTGCAGTTTCTCTGGCTATATGGTAACGTCGTTGACTTTATCACTACACAATTGCTTTTCCAGTACATAGGGGTGAGCTTCTGTTTCTGTTCTTTTGTGTAAGTTTTATTATTGTAAATGCTTACGAAAGACATTGGTACTTTCTGAAGGGAATTTTTGATTCTTACATTGCTGTTTCTTCTCTGAGCAACACTTAATAGTTATATCACGTCACTAGTGCTCTTAACTGGATTACTTGAGCCATTCATATACACAATGTGAATAGCAATTTCTGTAATATAGAATTAATGTAAACATTATTTGGGTAAGTTTCACTAGATAACATATTAAAGGTAAGAGCTGGATAAATTGCATAGCTGACTTCACATTAATGACTCAAAAGGACTTGCATAAATTACTGAGCATTTCTATCAATAGTTACAAACAAATCTGAGAGAAATGTAGAAATCAAAGTAAAACAGATAAAATTCTAAAATATTTTCTCAGACCTCAGATCCTTAAGTTAAAATAATATTTTTAAATACCAACCACATTACATTTATGATGAGACAGGACTTTAACAGACGGTAATTTTTAAGTACACACATAAAAATTAATAAATAAATAAGAAAATAAATGGAAAAATATAGTTTTATCTAGTCAATAAACAAATCTCAGAGAAAAACATACAAATGAAAAGGAAATAATAAACTAAGCAGTTGTACAATGAAGTTTGTCTTGAAAATATCTGGAAAGCATACCATAAAGAGGTGGATTAATTATGAGAGGAAAGATATATTTCAATAATGTGGTGGGTTGACCCTGGCTGAGGGC